TGCATGCATGCATGCATACAAACATACATGCATGCATGCAAACATAGAAACATACATGCATGCATGCATACATACAAACATACATACATACATGCATGCATGCATGCATACAAACATACATACATGCATGCATGCATGCATGCAAACATAGAAACATACATGCATGCATACATACAATTTTGCAATTATGCAATTATGCAATTATACATTTATACATACATGCATACATGCATGCATACATACATGCATACATACATACATACATACACACATACACACATACACACACAGACATTCATACACACAGACAGACGGACAGACAGACAGACAGACAGACAGACAGACATACATACATACATACATACACACACACAAACAAACATACACACATACATACATACATACATACATACATACATACATACATACACAGATACACATATACACATACACATATACACATACACATATACACATACACATACACATATACACATACATATATACACATACATATATACACATACATATATACACATACATATATACACATACATATATACACATACATATATACACATACATACACATATACATATACATCTACATATACATATACATACATACATGCATGAATACATACATACATTAAACCTACAATGTGTACAGATGCATAGACGATTCTGAAATGCTTTACAGTACTCTACAGAAATAGATGAACGAAATGGTGAGACCGGACCAATCCAGGACAGACCAGGTGTGTCCTGTGTTGGAATTCACTTGGACCCCATGGACACGCAATGTGCTGGTAATTGCTGTGCTCTTGAACAAATGCCACAATTTCAAACACTTCAAACAATTTCAAACAGTTTCAAACAATTTCAAACTATTTCAAACAATTTTTGCATTTCAATGCATTTCATGAATTTCATGGACTTGGATGTGAGCATACCCCATGCCCACTGCTTCCAGGCGCCATGGCAGTGGCACTGCTTTGGCTGCGTTAAGGGTTCTCGAAAAGTAGTTTCCACAGTTTTTTTTCGAAACAAATTTGACCACGCCATGCTATCCGAACTTTCAATTTGCGACCACTCGTCACTTCTTGTGTCGCCGTGTCTCTAACTCAATCTTGCAAATCAAGCTTGTGGCCAAACCAGACGATGAGAGTCTGGGAAGTATGCCCTGGCTTAGGTTGTCTCGGACTGTGCCCAGAGAATTCTGTGTGGCTGGAGGCCGGCGAATTTCTGTTCGTTTTGAAGTGGACTTTCACAGACAGAGTACTGTTACGTACTGTTACACTGTTACGTACTGTTCCGGTCAGCGCGACGTTATTTTGGAGTGGACCGCGTGGAGGACCAGTGGACAGAAACTATCCACGTTCTGCACCAGGCGTGGATGTACTGGCTCGTTGTGCGGAGGTGCCCTGCCAGGCTCGGAAGTTGCAGCGCAAAGCAGTAACGCGTTTCAACAATCTGTCGATCTCCAGAGAAATCACTTTGTTCCTGCAGTTAGCAGCGAGATGCATTTCTGTGGTGCTCTTGGACATACTTGGACTTTCGTCCTGGTTATAGCTACTTTCGTCCTGGCTAAAATAGCTACTGAGCTACTCCAGTTGCCCAGCTTGGTGTAAAGTACAGTGTAAAGGTGAGTAAATATATAAAAATACATGAGAGTCAATGCCTTGCTCATCTCCCTTCGCTAGGCTCCGCGACTCTTGGAAGCCTCGTTGCGCTGCCTTCATGGTCTCACTTTTGACACCGAGGCCGATTGGTTTCTGAATTGTAGAAATGGTTGACGCTCAGCAGTCCAGCTGGCTGACAGCTAGGCTGAAAAACAAATCTCGCTGCATTTTCCGCAGAATTTCAAGTGCCGAGTACATTCTTGTGAATTCTTGTGAACTTAAAGAACCGACTGTTTGATTTGAATTGGCTCGGGCGCTAGAATCGATGAGGTATATAGTGCAAGCATTTGCAAGCATGTGCTATGACACCTTCTAATAGCATGTGCCTGCATACATGATGGGGTTTCCAAATGTTTCCAATGGTTTCAAGGCCAAGGCTGCAGTAGAGCGGAGGGGTGTCAAGGACATTGTCCAGAACCGAGTCGAGATTTCCTTGAGCAGAGCAATTGCGCTTTTCTCTGCGTGAAAGCGAGTGGAGCAATCTTGAGATTACATACTTTGTGATGTTTTGATAATTTTTGATACATGTGTAAAACATTGTACAACTCTTTTGTCAGCATTCTTTGCTGATGTGGTTGCGTTCCAGGAGTTGGCACAGATATCTTGTGAACACTGCCAGCAAAATTGTTCCCCAAGGCTGAAGCTCTGCTGGAGGATATTCCACTTCGAAAGGGAAGACAGGCAAATATTGTGGAATAGCTGTGGCAGCTATGGCACAAAGGAATTCTCTGAATTCTGTGCCACAGCAAATGCGACACGTTGCTGTGCCGGCACAAGCGACCATGGCACCGTGGGCAGTGGCCATTTCGCTGATGTTTGGACAGCGCACCAAATCGCACCGTACCTTCTGAGAGGTGGTTTCGAGTCAAGAAGAGCAACGACTCTTGGAGGAAGCGTGGGATGATGTCTGGGGCCAAGGCAGGTGACGTAGACATACCGGATATGGCCCATCTCATGTGAAATCACAGGCAAGTTTCTTTCTGTCATATTTGTTCCAACGAGTCATCCGACCATAGACTGGAGGGGAGAGGCAGTTCAGCGTTTCTAGTGAAGCAAACCAAACGTGTTTCCACTCGCAGATGCCAAGATCTAGAGACAGCATGTCATGATGTGGATCATTGTATAATATTAATAATATTGTATATGTTTCCAACAAAACCTGTGTAAAGATAAGAAGACTTTGCTACGGGGTAGGTGCAAACGGAGCACGCTGTCCAGCAATCCGGTGCTGAGACCACTGTTATCTGCAGACGACTTCTTCAGAGACTCAATGGTCGGAAGTGCAGGTCGCCTGGAGAGCAGGTAGCCTTTCCTCGAAAAGCAGCATAACATTGGCATAACATTGGCATAACATGGATTGGATTTGGCCTGGGTGATTGGGTGATATGGCTGATACATGCTGATACCATCTCATGCCATTGCGCCATTGCCGAGATTTCGCAGAATGGTACTAGTGCACGAGGGGTAACCAGATAAACCAATATCGAGCGAAAGCAAAAGCAACTTCAACTCTCAAGGTCTTGATGAAGCGAACCTTCTCACGAACAACAGACAGACTTCACACCATGAGCTTTCGACCTCCTTCAACATCAATTGACTCAAGAGGGTTCAAAAGCTACTGCTACTGTTGCAGTACTATGCCGTGAAGATTTCGCAGCAAAGTCTCAAGAAGTCTTCACCTGCCATGTTGCTAAGGTGAGCCCATCGCTAGATCTTTTGTTGGTGCGAAGCTCAAGTTGACCACCAAATAGGCGCTTGTTGAGTCACCCTAGAGCTGACTTCACTCTTCATATGTCATAAGGCTCATAAGGTCTTGCTGAATTGCTATGCAATTTCAGGTCATGAAAATGAGTTGCACGCCAAAGTACTGGGGGTAGCCTTAGAGGGGCCGTTGCCCCCATGCCCAGTGGCTGCATCATTGGAGCAACCTTGGTCTCCTGAAAAGGGGGAGACCTGTTGCAAAGTTGCGAAGCATCCGCAGTGAAAGTGGCTCAGTGAAAGCGGCTCATTGGCTGATTGCTGTGCCCACAGAGTCCACTTGTGCAAGGCCTACCGTTGCGTAAGGCTTTACTATGGACATGTTTTTGACAAGTACATGGGTCAGCAATGTTCAGCATGTATAGTATATCAAGTTTTGACATGTTTGATCGTCATTCGTTTCGGAGTTCGAGTGTGCCCACGGGGTCATACTTATGAAGACAGGTCTCACTGATCTTACTGGCACTTTGCGACGTGTGTGGACGAGGGTCCAGGGTCCAGAGATGTCCAGATCACCTTCGTCGCTCAGCCGCTCCCTCCTTTCAAGCTGAGGGAGGTTTGACTGAGCTTCTCATGCACTCGGGCGCTTCCTGGTAAACCAGATACCCTCAACGTTTTGCTGTCAAAAACTCAACACGCCTATGTGCAGGCAGAATCTTGCAGACATGATTCAACACATGATCATACAATCAATACATAATACATGCCTAACTCTTCGAACGGTTTAGTTTGAAAATTGCAAGACCATGTTGGATTCACGCCCAAATTTCGTTCAAACATCGGTGCGCTGGTTAGCTGGGCATGTTTGGCCAGAGCATTCCTCAATTAAGAACAGAGGGTCTTGTGTTTTGTTGCACATTCACTCTCGCTATAGCGTTTTTTTGTTCCAGTTTCCTCGTCTTGCGATGGCAGGCAGGCATCTTCTGGCTTGTGATGGCAAGAAGACATCTTTTGATTTCGTACTCGGCTGACAACAGGGATTGGCATCCGAGGACACAAATCAGCAAACCTTGCACGTGCATAGCATTGTTCCTGTTGCTTTAGCACCGAACAGTTTGTTTGGATTTGACTGAAGTGCAAACGTATCGCCTTAAACTCAATATATACTGCCAGGCAAAATTTGTCCTAGGAGTCATCGTAGATCAGCATGGTCTTTGTATGTATGGTTGTAGCTCCGTATTACGAGGATGAGAGGACCATCGACTGCACGTCTGGCATGCATTTCAAGAACTAGGACAAAGAAGGAGCACAGTAGGGCTAGTCCCACTGCTTCTCAAAGTAGGATAGACATGGACAGACTTGATGTGGGAGACGATTATATACACAGATGAAAAAGTTTCAGAAGCAGTTTGATTTTGTGAGCAGATGATGATGTGCGGCACAAGGGACCAGATTGGAACTGCTGGGCCAAGTCTATTCATGTTTTCTCATGTTTGATCCATGTTTGATCCGTGCCGTTGCCTTGTCGTTACCACCCAACTTTTGTGTTGTATTGCCGCAGTATTTGAACGCAGATCTATCACATTTTCAGCCCCCGCGCCTCTGAATCACTTTTGTTGCAATGGCTCCTCGCAACACCATGTTGGCAGCTGCCGGCCTTGCCGCTGGTGGTTACGTGGCCACGCAGGCATTTGTGCCAAGTGCTTCAGGGCCTGCTGTGAGCACTGAGGCCGTAGCCAACTTGCGTGGTGCCTCAGCTGCCCCATCGCAGGGATTCGGCAGCGCACTGCCACTCATGGGCCTCGTTGGCGTCGGAGCCGTAGCTGCCGGGCGCAGCCGCATGGCCCGACGAGCTGAGCCCGTGTCTGCTGCTGCCGCTGCCGCTGCTGCTGCAAAAGCAGCTGCTGCAGCCAAGGGAGCGACTGCAACCACCTCAGCTGTTGCAGGCTCTGCTGGTGTTGGCTCCTTGAAAAAGGGAGAGGAAACCGTTGCAGGCAAGGGTGGAGGAAGTTCAAGCTTTGACCCTGCTACCCAGATTGGCGCTATGGCTCCTTTGGGCTTCTTTGACCCGGCAGGGTTTTGCAAGAAGGGCGATGAGGCCGGATTCCGCAACCTTCGTGCTGCTGAAATCAAGCATGGCCGCGCTGCGATGATGGCAGCCCTTGGTGCAGTGGTGCAACACTATGTGAAGTTCCCTGGCTTTGAGTCTGTTCCAAGTGGCCTTGCTGCTTCCATCACAGCTCCAGGAAGCTATGGCTTTGTGGCTCTTTTCGCTGTGGCTGGCATCCTTGAGTTGGGCGCGTGGACTGAGAGTGATGACAAGGAGCCAGGAAACTTCGGTGACCCCCTTGGCCTGAACCAGTACAACCAGGAAATGAGAGAGTCTTATCTGAACAGCGTTCTAAATTCCTTTTTGCATGTCTGGTATTGGGCTGGCATAAATTCGATCAAGTCGTGCGACTTTGCCTGGGTTTCGTAATTAGTGCGAAAGGTTTGACGTAAGCTTTGGTCAGACACATGTCAGAAACATATTGCCCTAAGCACCCCCAAGCCATTTGGAAGACCATGTCGGGGCATGAGAGCTGGCCAGGGTTCAAATAAGCTTGTGTGACTCATTTGGTGCATGTTATACATGTTGAAGATGATGCCATTGTATATAAGGAGAACAGATGAAAGCAGACCAGAATTTATGCCACTTTCTTCACGGTAATTGTAGAGCTTCGCACATCGGTGGTGCCATAAGGGTTATGTATAGTACATGTGCTCTGCGTGCGCGCAGGTGCAGAGCACAGTGTGATGTTCTTGTCATACTGCAGCTTGTAACCATCTTACCGCACATCTTTTTGTCGCATTTTTTGTGCTTCTTCTTCTTCTTCTTGTTGTTGTTGTTGCTGTTGTTGCTGTTGCTGCTGTTGCTGTTGTTGCTGTTGTTGCTGTTGTTGCTGTTGTTGCTGTTGTTGCTGTTGTTGCTGTTGCTGTTGTTGTTGTTGTTGCTGTTGTTGTTGCTACTTGCAGCAAATGATTGTGTGTGACAACATTTTGTGTGTGTGTGTGACAAAGTTCTGTGTGCCTGCAAGATTGGAAAGATTGTGTGTGATAGATTGTGTGTGACAAAGATTGTGTGTGACAAATTTGTGTGTGGAAGAATGTATGTGACAAAGTTGTTTGAGTGGGCGGGCGGCAGCGGACGGGCGGACGGGCGGACGGGCGGACGGGTGGACGGGCGGACCGGCGGACGGGCGGACGGGCGGACGGGCGGACGGGCGGACGGGCGGACGGGATACAGAACCCCAAACAAGAACCCCACACAAAGATGTGGGGAAATATACCTAAAGTCCTTTCTGAAACTCTACTAAAAAAGACCGTTTTCAACTTTTTCCAGGTCTTTTTTCCAGCTGTTGCCACCTGCTTATGATATGCCTGTTGTTGTTGTTGTTGTGGTTGTGGTGGTTGTGGTTGTGGTTGTGGTTGTGGTTGTGGTTGTGGTCGTGGTCGTGGTCGTGGTCGTGGTCGTGGTCGTTGTTGTCGTCGTCGTCGTCGTCGTCGTCGTCGTCGTTGCAACACAGCTTATTTTCGCATTTTCGCGGACCCCCAGAAATCGGCAAATAGGCGGTGTTTTCGCATATTTTTGAAACCCCCGGCGCAAATACCGATGTGTTTTGCGCCGCGGAAGCCAAAAACCACGGTATTTACGATGTTGTTTGCCTTTACAATGTTTTTTTTGCCAGTGCCTAGCAAAAACACTGGTATCTACGCAGTTTTCACCATGTTGCAAGATGTAATTTCCATATGCGAAAATGACAACAACAGTGTGTCAAGTTCACCCGTGAACCGTCTGAAGGGAGCGACTGACGTCGCCGTGTGGCTGCAGGGTGGGAACCAAACCGCGGTGCCGAAGAGTCAAATGGGCGCTACGCCTCTAACCCCTGGTGTGGGTAACTTGGTTCAGAGATCCAAAGACCTCGGGAGCTTTGGGGATAACTGTTGTTGGTAGCATTGGCCGGTTTGACTGGCTGCCAAAAAAAGGCAATAGGACTGTTTGCAGCAATGCCGACGGCTGATGGTGCTGCAGCTGGTGGTGATGAGCCTTTCATGGCAAAGGCTGACAACTTCGTGCCGACCTTCTCCGGCAAGCAGGTGGGCTACAAGGAGTTTAGATGCCGATGTGACATCTATGCTGCAAAGATGAAGCTGGCCAAGCGAGACAGCGAGATGGTCTTCAACATTGTCACGCTGTTGAAGGGCCAAGCCTGGGATTGCATCGAAGATTTGTCCATCGAGGACTTCTCCAAGGACACGGCCTACAAGACTGTGTTTGACCGGTTGGACAAGGCTTTCAAGTTTGACCCGCTCACGGAGTTGCCTGCCGACTTCGAGGCGTACTTCGTGAGGCTTCGACGAAAAAGCGGTCACACAGTCCAGCAGTACCAGACCGAGAAGGTGAGAGCATTGTGGTTTCTGAGAAGGAGTGGTCTGACAAAAGACCAACGGCAACTTGTGCTGACACAGTTGGGCGGAGATGGATTGACCCTTGATCGGGTCATGAAATCCATGAACTTCATCATAGGCCAAGACAGCAAACTGGAGTCATCTGCCTCAGCCTCAAGCAGATGGCACAAGGGCAACACCACCTACAAGGCTGCCTACCGGGCCGGCGATGATGATGCTGATGAAGATTCTCAGTTTTGGGATGATGATGCATACTGCGCGATGACTATCACATCGACGCCTAGGAGGAGTACTACTATGACCCTGACGAGAAGGTGGACGAGCCCTACCCCGATGCCATCTACGACGTTGAGGAGCATGACAACATCTTTGCGTCCTATGTCGAGGCCAAGCACCGGCTCAACAAGCTTCGCACATCAAGGGGATTTTTCCCTGTGGTTGCAATGGTTCAAAGCCCCGTCACCGATGGCAAAGGAGCCAAGTCTGGGGGGCAAGTCGAAAGCCCGTGGCAAGGGCAAAGGAAAGTCCTTTGGAAAGAGCCCACCTCAGAAGGGTTCGGCAAAGCCTCTTGCCGAAGCTGCCCTTGGAAAATCGCTGTGCTTGCGCTGTGGCCAGTCTGGTCACCGAGCAAAAGGCTGTCCAGCTAGCTCCGCTGACAGCAAGAAGCGCAAGGCCGGCAATGCAGAAGATGCTGATGTCCGCATGTGAATGCAGCTGGTGAGAACCAGCCCAATGACCGAGCTGTCCAAGATGGAGGAGCAGCCTCAGTTTTGGGTTCTTGCAAGGCTATCTGCAACTACATCGAGTACATGCGCAACAAGGGGATCAACGTGGAGATCGATGTCGAGGTCTTCCAGTGTGAGAAGGGTTTTCGATATGGCAATAGCCAACGAGAAGTGACAAACTTGTGCTGCATGCTGCCGACGTTCATTGGCGGCAAGAAGCAGAAGATTCTCTGCTATGTCATTAAAGGTGACGCTCCAATTTTGATTGGACGACCCCTCATGAAGAAGCCCAACATGGTGATTGACTATGCAGCCGACCTCTACCTGTCCGGCGACAACACGTGGAAACCCTTGGATCTTGGGCCCAAAGGTGAACACATCATCCACCTCATGGAAGACTACACCCTCAAGGATGACACCTCCGAACCCCAGATCCTCATGCCGGTCGACTTTTGAAGACCACATCAACGTGCACAACAGACTTCCCTTGAGCTGCTTGCAAGATGATACAATCATGGAAGTCAAGGACATTCTTGTCAAAGAGGAAGCATCTCATGATGATCTCTCTGGCCTGCACCCAGCGCACGAGTCTCTGGAGAGCGCAGTAGTTGCCGAATCAGTGCATGAGACTGCGCAATCAATGCATGAGACTCCAAGCTCCTGGACACCAAGTGCTATGCGTCCTGCACCTCAAGGAGAAGAAGGCGCTGAGATGACCAGAGATCCAACAGTTTCACTTCACCCCGCATTCCGAATTCAAATGAATCGAACTCCAGTGACATTGCGAAGGCTTCACCCAAATCGCCTTCGCAAGATGATCTACAATGCGCAGTTTCTGGTGAAGGAGCACAACGAGATGATGAATGAGGCAATGCAACCTCCCAGAAAGACTCATGTTGTCTGGGAGCTCTACTGCGGAAAGGGACGGTTGTCTGACTATGTCAACTCGATCCCAGGATGTCGTGCTGAGAAGTTTGGCTATGGCCAAGGTTGGGACTTCTCCAGACTGCCGACCGCAAGGCATTCCTTCGTCGCCTTCGTGAAGAAGAACCTATGATGTGATGATCTCACCAGAATGCCGGCTGTGGAGTCCTTTACAAGAGCTCGCAGCCAACAGGAGTCCAGAAACATTGCAGTTTCTGGTCGATGCGAGGCAGGAGAACCACGACACCCACCGCACCTTTGTCTCTGTGGTGTACCAAGTGCAGTACAGAGCAGTCGACATGCGACAATTGAGCATCCATGGAGCCCAAGAGCATGGAAGACACGAGCATTGGCTCAGCTCTATGGTTTTGCGACCTATGTGGATCAATGCGAACTGGGTCTTGAACTTGAAAATGATCAAGGACAAATGTTGCCAGCCCGAAAGCCCACATGTCTCTTCACAACCCGGAAGAATGTCTAAGGTGACATGGGTCTTCATGTGTGCTCTGGCAACCATGAGCATACTCCATGTGAAGGCTGCATTCCAGGACAAGGTTCGACGTTCAAAGCTTGCTGAAGATTATCCTTGGCAGTTTGCACGCCAACTTGCATACTTCTTAACTCAGGACGATGAGACCACCGATGACATTCATGCTGCCATCGATGCGGATGAGGAGCTTCATCAACTTGAACGAGAAAGAAGCTGAGATCAACGCCATCAAGTCCAACAAGGAACTCAAGCTGCGTGTTGGTGCAAGGGCTGTCGACTATGTGGCCCGACTTCACAAGAACATGGGCCATCCTTCGGCCGCAACCTTAAGGTGAAGATGCTGACTGAAGTTCAAGCCACTGAGAATGTCCTGGAAGCAGCACGAAAGTATGTGTGCCGCTCATGCTATCACAGAGCCAAACCATTTCAAGTACCACTGTCTGGCGGAATTTCATCAACAACCTTTGGCAATCGACTGGTCGTGGATTCGAGTTGGATTCAACTTGGACCAGATCGACAATGCATCCTCACTATGGTTGACGAGGCGACCCGATACCTCACCGTGCGCATCCTGGCTTCTGAGAAATCCACCAACTTCCTGAAGGGAATTGAACGATCAGACACTTTGGGGTTCCCAAGTATTTTCGTGTGGATTCAGCCAAAGGATGGGAGTCCAAAGCTGTACGTGATTGGTGTTCTGATCACGGAGTGATCTTGGAAGTTGCCGCTGCCGAGTCACATAATTGGCTTGGTGTGGTTGAACGTCGTCATCAAGTCGTACGACGAGCTCTGGAACTCTACGTGGACAACGTTGAACGTGGCGCCAACATCGCCAGATTGAAGGAAGCAGTCACCTATGTGCCTTCAAGGGTGAACCAATTTTCATTCACCAAGGGCCAAGGGCTACACTCCAGCCCAATGGGTCTTGGGCAAATCCATTCAACAGGACATGAGCCCCATGGCCGAGGTCTATAACCCTGGCATTGATGCGATGGATGATCAATAGAACTTTGCCCATACTCAACAACGACGTCTTCAAGCTGGTATTGCCTTTCTTCAGGCTGACTCAGATGCCAAGCTGCGTCGTGCTATGGCCCAGAAGTTCTACGAAGGCAAGGATAAGGTTGTGATTGGTCAGAGAGGAGAATTCAGGGAACTGGCAATTTGCCAAAAGTCCAAGTGGCGTGGCTCTGCGAGATGTGTGGCCAGTGAATTCTCACAAGATGGTGGCAAAGTGGGGGTGCATTGGCTGGCGCATGGAACTTTACTACGGTGTTCACCTGCTCATGTGCGTCCAATGGTCGAAGAGACAGGTTCCAACGTGCCCATCAACCCTGAAGCTGCACTACGAGATCTTGAAGAGATCCATGCAAGGTCAACCACAATTCCGGGACATGGCCAAGGAGACCGACCCACTCGAGCCTATCCTGGAAGACCTCTATGAGCCTGACCACGACCCTCCTGCAGCAGTCAGTGGTTATGAGTATGAACCTTCAGAGTTTGCACCTGAGGAGATGCCCGCCGAAGTTCCAGGCATTGTAACAGTCATGATGCCCGGCATGCGAGAAGAGAGAGAGAAAGAACTCCAAGGAGAAACAGAAGACAGTGACGTTTCAACGGAACTTCCAATGCCTCTTGAACATCCTGATAGACCACCTCACCCACTGCATCATCCACGTCCTGAACTACCGGCTGATGCATCACCAAGAAAGCGCGCGAGAGCAGCGCTAGAAACAGCTGCTGCCACTCCAGTCCCTGAACAGGCTGAAGGGCACGAGCTTGCAGTTGATGATGTAAGGTTTGTCGACATGGTGAAAGGTTCACTCCCACATGGTTGGACCGTGGTCGAAAACGCCTTTGAGCTGGATGAAGCATGGCTAGCCTCTGCAACAACCAATCATCTCCGACGAGGGCGAGGTGAGATCAATGCCAGAGAGCTGAATGTCTCCGACCGGGAGAAGGTGATCCAGGCGAAGATGAAGGAGCTGGAAAGTTTCTTCACCAACAAGGTTTGGAAATTCATTGACCCCAAGGCCAACCAGATTTCCAAAGACCGCACAGTGACCACACGATGGGTACTGACTTGGAAGCCTGGTGTGCCCGATAAGAATGGTCATGTCAGTGGTCCTCGTGCAAAAGCGCGTCTAGTCCTTCGAGGTTACCAAGACCCTGACCTGTTTTCCCTTGAGAAGAACAGCCCCACTTCCCAGCGAGCTGGCAAGATGACATTGCTGGTCATTGCCACGATTTTTGGATGGCTGGTTTGGTGTGGCGATGTTCGAGCCGCTTGTCTATCTGTTGCTGGTTTTGGCCGAGAACTTCTTGTTTTACTCCCACGTGACTGTGGACCTCTGCTTGGCTGCGGCCCTGGACAACCAGTTCACATGCGCATGCTAAAGAGCGCATATGGCTTGGCAGATGCCCCTCTTTTGTGGTTTCGGGAAGCATCGAGACGCCTGACCCGTCTTGGTTGGAATGCGCAGGAGCTTGACAAATGCACCTTTGCCTTTTACAACAGCCAAGGTGAACTGGATGGATTGCTGATCCTCCATGTTGATGACATGCTCATCACGAGCTGCTCGCTGGACGTCCTGATCCCAGCGAGTTCCAGGACATGCTGACGAAGCTCAAGCAAGAGTTTGAGTTTGGCAAGCGGGAGGAGCTCAATGACAACAAGAAGATCACCTATTGTGGAGGAGATCTCCGACGAGATGGCAACAAGATCCTGGTGAGCTACGACTCCTACCTGAAGAAGATCTGCCCGATCACCATACCAAAAGGCAGAGACAACAAAGAGAAGCTCACAGACCAGGAGAAGAAGAAATGCCGTGGTCTACTAGCTCTACAGTGGCCTGGTGGACAAGGCATGCCTGCCGTATGTGCCTCTACAAGCCTTTTGGCAGGAGAACTTGCACAAGGTTCTGGCGATGTGGTGCAAGGCCTCAAGAAATGCCTGCGTTTTGCCAAAGAACGCTTTTGGCGTGAGACAAGACTTGTCATCATAGGCTACATCATTGTCCTCACCGACAAGCGGGTGCTGCGTGGCGAGAAATGCAAGTTCTGCACTGTGGCATGGCGAAGCTTACAGGAGCTCACTATCAGCTGAAAGCCAGTCAATGGCAAGTGCCTTAGAAGAGACGCTGCTGGTCAAGATGTTCCTCAGGATGATCATGGAGCCCAAGCTCACGATCGACGAGGCGCAGAAGAGCCTGACTATGGACACTGCAGTTGTCACAGACTGCAAGGCGCTGTTTGACCTTCTGAAGCGCGATGGCATCCAAGCCTCCCTGGACAAGAGAGTGGCCATCAAAGTCCAATGGGATGACAAAGCTGGCAGCGCGCCAACACATGGTGGATGTCCTCAAGTCCGGCTACATCCAGCTGATCGCCGACAGCAACTATCAAGCTGCCAAGAAGAAGCCTGCTGCTGAGCGCGAAGTTTCGAGCCTGGAAGCTACGTCCAGAATCGCTGCTACAGAATGCATCAAGGGCTCAGCTACCAATGATGACGGTGAATGCAAGACTGACTTTGTCTTCTTGCTGACCCTTTTTCATCATGCTTGCCTTCCCCCTGGCGATCGGGCTCTGGCATTGGCGCAGATCTACTTCGTCTACAACGCCTGAAAAGGGTAACTTGGTTAAGGGATCCAAAGACCTCGGGAGCTTTGGGGATAACTTGTTGCATTATATTTTACGATGGTTGCTTCCCGAGCGCAGCAAAAAAAATCAAAATCTTCAAAGAATGGCTCAAAACGGTCCAAAATTGACTTCCAAAAGCATCTTATAATTTTAGCATCTTTTTTCCCGGCCCCGGACCCCCAAAAACGTGAAAACACAGTGGGAGTGAAGGATTTTGGGGGTCGGCGGCAGGGGCGCGCCCCCAGGTAGCTAAAGCTAGCGTGCCTTGTGGGCTCGCTGGCTGCTAGATGTCGCAAAGCAGCTGGAAAGAAACTGAGTACGGTCAGTTTTATGAGTTTTAGTAAGGCTTCAGAAGGCACGCTAGGCAATTTTTGTGGCTTCTTGTGGTACATTTTGGGCATGCAATTAGGTGGTGTTTTCCTGTTTGGGAGGTGATCCAGCGGCACATAGCTTGTGCCTTCCCCCTTTGGATCCTTGGGACTCTTATTCTGTATTATGCGTTTTCTTTCCGGGGTCGTGTGCAGCTACTCCCACATGCATATCATCATTGTGTGGCGGGCTTGTTGGCTGCAAGTAGCAACAACAACAACAGCAACAACAACAACAACAACAACGACAACGACAACAACAACAACAACAACAACAAAAGGCATATCATAAGCAGGTGGCAACAGCTGGAAAAAAGACTTGGAAAAAGTTGAAAACGGTCTTTTTTAGTAGAGTTTCAGAAAGGACTTTAGGTATATTTCCCCACATCTTTGTGTTCTTGTTTGGGGTTCTGTATCCCGTCCGCCCGTCCGCCCGTCCGCCCGTCCGCCCGTTCGCCCGTCCGCCCGTCCGCCCGTCCGCCCGTCCGCCCGTCCGCTGCCGCCCGCCCACTCAAACAACTTTGTCACATACATTCTTCCACACACAAATTTGTCACACACACAACTTTGTCACACACAATCTATCACACACAATCTTTCCAATCTTACACGCGCACACACACACAACTTTGTCACACACACACACAAAATTTTGTCACACACAATCCTTTGCGTGGCAGGCGTGGCGCTGGGTGACATCCACCTTCGTTTTGCGTGGTAGGCGTGGCGCTCTACAGCACCGGGCTGGATCTGGGGGCGCGCTTGGTCGCCGTTAGTCGCCCGGGGCGGCGGCTGTTTGAGAGGCAGGCGTGGCACTTACTCACATCAACCTTTGTTTTGCGTCGCAGGCGTGGCGCTTGCTCACATCAACCTTCGTTTTGCGTGGCAGGCGCGGCACTTGGCGACATCGGCCTTGGTTTTGCGTGGCAGGCGTGGCGCTTATGGCACTGGGCTGGATCTGGTGGCGCGCTTGGTCGCCGTTAGTCGCGCGGGGCGCTGCGGCCCTGTGCGTGGCAGGCGTGGCGCTTGCTGACATCCATGTTGCTTTGCGTGGGAGGCGTGGCACTTGGCGACATCGGCCTTGGTTTTGCGTGGCAGGCGTGGCGCTTATGGCACTGGGCTGGATCTGGTGGCGCGCTTGGTCGCCGTTAGTCGCGCGGGGCGCTGCGGCCCTGTGCGTGGCAGGCGTGGCGCTTGCTGACATCCATGTTGCTTTGCGTGGGAGGCGTGGCACTTGGCGACATCGGCCTTGGTTTTGCGTGGCAGGCGTGGCGCTTATGGCACTGGGCTGGATCTGGTGGCGCGCTTGGTCGCCGTTAGTCGCGCGGGGCGCTGCGGCCCTGTGCGTGGCAGGCGTGGCGCTTGCTGACATCCATGTTGCTTTGCGTGGGAGGCGTGGCGCTTGGCGACATCGACCTTCGTTTTGCGTGGCAGGCGTGGCGCTTGCTCACATCAACCTTCGATTTTTCGTGTCAGGCATGGCCCTTGTCGACATCGACCTTGGTTTTGCGTGGCAGGCGTGGCGCTTATGGCACTGGGCTGGATCTGGTGGGGCGCTGGGTCGCCGTTAGCCGCCCGGGGCACCGCGGCACTTGGCGACATCGACTTTCGTTTTGCGTGGCAGGCGTGGCGCTTGACAAGCGTTTTGCGTGGCATACGAGTCACTTGGCGACATCGACCTTGGTTTTGCGTGGTAGGCGTGGCACTTGTGGCACTTGGCTGGATCTGGTGGCGCGCTTGGTCGCCGCTGGTCGCCCAATCCGCCGCGGCACTTTGTTTTGGCAGGCGTTGCGCTTGCTCACATCCATGTTGCTTTTGCGTGGCAGGCGTGGCGCTTGGTGACATCGCCCTTCGTTTTGCGTGGCAGGCGTGGCGCTTGGTGACATCATCCTTTGTTTTGCGTGGCAGGCATGTTACTTGGCGACATTGACCTTGGTTTTGCGTGGCAACCGTGGCGCTTATGATGGCGCTGGGCTGGATCTAGAGGCACACTTTGTCGCTGCTAGTCGCCCGGGGCCCCGCGGCACTTTGCGTGCATCGCAGGTGTGGCGCTTATGGCGCTGGGCTGGATCTGGTGGAGAGCTTGCTTGGTCGCCGTTAGTCGCCCGGGGCGCCGCGGCACTTTGCGTGGCAGGCGTGGCTCTTGCTCATTGACATCCATGTTGCTTTTGCGTTGCGGGCGTGGCATTTGGCGACATCGACCTTCGTTTTGCGTGCCAGGCGTGGCAGTTGCTCACATCAACCTTCATTTTGTGTGGCAGGCATGGCGCTTGGCGACATCCCTATAGGTTTTGCGTGGTAGGTGTGGCACTTTGGGTGGCAGGCGTGGCGTTGCTCACATCAACTTTCGTTTCGTGTGGCAGGCGTGGCGCTTGGCGACATCGACCTTCGTTTTGCGTGGCAGGCGTGGCACTTGCTCACATCAACTTTCGTTTTGCGTGGCAGGCGTGGCACTTGGCGACATCGACCTTGGTTTTACGTGGCAGGGGTGGCGCTTGACAAGCGTTTTGCGTGGCAGGTGTGGCGCTTGGCGACAGCCTTGGTTTTACGTGGCAGGCGTGGTTCTTGGCGACATCGGCCTTGGTTTTGCGTGGCCGGGGTGGCGCTTACAGCACTGGGCTGGGTCTCGTTGGTCGCCCGTGGCGCCGTGGCGCTTTGCATGGCAGGCGCGGCGCTTGCCAACATTAACCTTCGTTTTGCGTGGCAGGCCTGGCGCTTGGCGACATCGACCTTGGTTTTGCGTGGCAGGCGTGGCGCTTGGTGACATCAACCTTTGTTTTGCGTGGCGGGCGTGGCGCTTGGTGACATCAACCTTTGTTTTGCGTGACAGGCGTGGCACTTGGTGACATCGACGCGAACACACAGACTTCAACACAGACCTCTTTCTCCCACACACCTGTTTCACACACAACCTTGAACACACATCTCTTTTACACACACCTCTTTTACACACAACTCTGTCACACACACAACCTTGAACACACCAGTCTTTTACATACACTTTTAGTCTTTCACTCACAACTCTTTCACACACAAACTTCCACACACAACGCTTTCATATACACACACAACTCTTTCACACAAACTTCAACACACAGCTCTTTCACACGCAACTTTGTCTCACACGTCTTTTTCACGCACTAACTTGAAGACACAAACTTCCACACGCAAGGCTTTCACACACACACAACTCTTTCACACAAACTTCAACACCCAGCTCTTTCACACGCAACTTTGTCTCTCACACACACATCTCTTTCACGCACTAACTTGAACACACAAACTTCCACAGGCAACTCTTCCACACACACCCTTCACACTTGCTCAGAACCATCTTTGCGAATTCTGATGTGGAATGCATCTTACGTGCAAAAAACACTCCAATTAAACTTGACAGGAATTGGTTGATGACCAGAGGCGAGAAACAGTTCGAAGGAATTCTTTCAATGTCCTTGCTAGATGCAACGTATCCATCTGAACCAAGTCGTTACCTCCCTTGAAAGATTGCGACGACTGTGCAGTGAAAAAAGAAAAAGCAGAGGGTTCTGGGCTTGGCCCGTTGCCATTTAGAGAAATGATAAAACGGTGCAGGTACGCAGAGCTGATCAGGCTCTGTATCACCACGAACTGACAGTGTCTTCGTTGGGGAGTGTCTGTCAGTGGTGCACTGCCCCCCTGCTTGAAATGAAATGAAATAATGCCGACAAGAATCAGGGATAGAAGTTTAACACCTTTTCCCGTGCCAGAAGTAAAATGAAGAAGGACCAGGTAAAATCGGAAGTAGAAGTTTTACATCTTTGCAGATGGTTCACACACACGCCCTGCTGCCGCAGGGCTTTTTTGACAAATGGACAGGTGAGTCACGCTCTGATACGGTCAACTGGTAACGGATTATGTAATCAAAAAACCAGTGACAAGAGTTAATTACCAACCCAACTCAGGAGTTAACATTCAGCTCGCGCCCGATCTAGTCGGAGATCTCCGAGATGTCATCCAGTTCATGATTCTGAGCATGTTGGGCAAGAGTCTGCGAAGTGATAGACAAATGGCTGGGCTGGCAAGGTGGGCCAGATCAATTGCCGAGAAAAGCAGGATGGGA